GCTGTATGAGTGGATACTTCATTTGCTAATCAAGTTTTCCTTGCTTCACGGCTCGTTTGTCCCAGGTCAATTGGAAGATGGTTTGCCTTAGTCAGCTTGAGATTTATCCAGCTCTTATATGAGATGTCCACATGTTGTCTACCACAAGTTTGCTGTCAATATGTCCACAGCAAATATCCAAACCTAGGATTTCTGGCAGTCCAATAGGCTGTTGGCCTCTTGGTATATGACGAGTCCCATGGTCTCGCCACACCACACAGGGGCCTGACAGCTGAGTGGACAGCGCTTCGAATTCGTAGTCCTGAGGTTCCGGGTTCGATCCCCGGTGAAGGCAGAAAAAATTAGCCAAGTTTCTTTCACCCTGATTCCCTGGTTACCGAGCAGTAAATAGGTACCTGGGAGTTAGACAGCTGCTTCGGGCTGCTTCCTGGGGATGTGTAACAAAAAGGAGGCCTGGTCGAGGACCGGGCTGCGGGTACGCTAAGCCCCGAAATTATCTCAAGATAACCTCAAGATAAGAACACTTGTATGCACTTGGGCAACTGGTCAGGAGTAGAGTTCCTCTGCCCTTTGGCCGGTCTCTCTGACTCCATTTCCACTTGTAAGCCCTGGTCATCTTTTGTTTTTTCCTATGCTGGGCGCATTCACTCGGTCAACTATCTCTGATGAGGCTCGGTTGTGAGCTACTGAGGTGGCCCTCCTAGAAGACAAGTGTTGGAGACAACCCAATTCTGGTCCTGGCTCCCCGTAGGCTCTTGTGGATCTCCTAAGGCTTGGTTATTACAAGGATGTAGCTCCAGGTAAGTACTGTACTGATAGGCTCACCAGAAAGAGGCGTATCATTATTCAACTTTTTTTTTTTTTTTTTTTATATATTCCAAGTACTTGTTCTGCATGTAGACCATATTCTTAATCTATTTTGCTTGCATCTTAAAGCTTTTACTTTAGATATAAAAAATTATCTTGATATTTTGATTGTGGTAATTCATGTAGTTCTGTTTGCTTATCTATGTAACATTCGAGCCTGGCCTCAGGCTGGGGTCGGGGAGTAGACGAACTCCCGTGACTTTCTTCAGGTATGCTTCCTCTCCAGGTAAGAAATTTGAGAAGGAAATCATTTTTGTTAAAGATATTCAGTCTGGAAAGAAAATAGAGAATGAATTTGTATATGGACTTAAAGTTCCTATTATTATTGAGATGTGTAATTTAGCTGTGGTAGTGGAGGTGGTGAGGGACTTCATTCTGTTATATGTATTGTAATATATATGCAATATGTTTGTTGTGAAAACCATATGGCAAAGTTGCTTATCTCCAGACACCTAAGAAAGTTATTGGCGTTTTTGAAGGATCAAGCGAGTTAGCCTGGTGAACATCATAGGCATCAGGTTCAGCCCAAATGGTAGAGCCTGAAAGTGGTAAAAAGATGCCTTATTCTGAATTCCAGCCAGTTCCTGAATGCTGGATGGCTTGGAATGGACCAGTAGGAATTGTGGAAATCCAGGGAAATGAGCTAGAGGTCATCCTGAATGTGAGGTGATGAATATTCTGCCAATCTGACAGGTCAAAAATAATTTAAGGCTCTGGAGCACCTTATTTATGAGCAGTAAACAGACGATATATTTGCCATAAGGATGTCATCACTGATCATTCCCCTTGCCCAACAAAATGCAAATGATTTTGCAGTGGAGCAAAGTAGACTGCTGAGCTAGACTCAGACATTGGAAGCAGGTAGGAACATGTCCACTGATGACCCTGAAATACTATACAATTTGCTTAGACATCTTCGTTGCAAGCGTACCGAAAGATGCTCGGCTGTCCTCCCACTACACTGTCACCAGGGCTTGCCACAAAAGGGTTGGCACAGAGGAAACCCTACCAACTGCCAAACAAAGGGATCATGATCATCGGGAACCTGCAACTCAGAACTCCTCCCTTGATCAGGAATCCGAGAAGACTGGACATTCCCCTTGATCAGGAATCCGAGAAGATTGGACATTCAGCTGTCTGGAAGCAGACACGTTGGATAGAGTCTACAGCTGGAAAACCTGGCCAAGTCATCTGGAAAACCTGGAAAAGTTGCGTTATTAGCAGCTAACATCCTCACAACCTTCATGTCTGGAAACAGGAGGAGAGAGAATGGGGTCACAAAAAGCAGGAAGATATGATACCTGGTTGATACCTGGTTGATGGGGTTCTGGGAGTTCGTCTACTCCCCAAGCCCGGCCCGAGGCCAGGCTCGACTTGTGAGAGTTTGGTCCACCAGGCTGTTGCTTGGAGCGGCCCGCAGGCCCACATACCCACCACAGCCCGGTTGGTCCGGCACTCCTTGGAGGAATAAATCTAGTCTAAATCTATATCATGCCAACTGCTGGAGAGATTTCAGAGCTACCAGTTTTTTGCTCACCAAAAAGTCTGAGCTGTATAGAAATCCATCGTTACAGCAGCAGCACGAACAGTTCGAGTGCAGCAGCTGTGGCAGCAGACCACATGGCAGCAGCTGTGGCAGCGGACCACATGGCAGCAGCTGTGGCAGCGGACCACATGGCAGCAGCTGTGGCAGCGGACCACATGGCAGCAGCTGTGGCAGCGGACCACATGGCAGCAGCTGTGGCAGCGGACCACATGGCAGCAGCTGTGGCAGCGGACCACATGGCAGCAGCTGTGGCAGCGGACCACATGGCAGCAGCTGTGGCAGCGGACCACATGGCAGCAGCTGTGGCAGCGGACCACATGGCAGCAGCTGTGGCAGCGGACCACATGGCAGCAGCTGTGGCAGCGGACCACATGGCAGCAGCTGTGGCAGCGGACCACATGGCAGCAGCTGTGGCAGCGGACCACATGGCAGCAGCTGTGGCAGCGGACCACATGGCAGCAGCTGTGGCAGCGGACCACATGGCAGCAGCTGTGGCAGCGGACCACATGGCAGCAGCTGTGGCAGCGGACCACATGGCAGCAGCTGTGGCAGCGGACCACATGGCAGCAGCTGTGGCAGCGGACCACATGGCAGCAGCTGTGGCAGCGGACCACATGGCAGCAGCTGTGGCAGCGGACCACATGGCAGCAGCTGTGGCAGCGGACCACATGGCAGCAGCTGTGGCAGCGGACCACATGGCAGCAGCTGTGGCAGCGGACCACATGGCAGCAGCTGTGGCAGCGGACCACATGGCAGCAGCTGTGGCAGCGGACCACATGGCAGCAGCTGTGGCAGCGGACCACATGGCAGCAGCTGTGGCAGCGGACCACATGGCAGCAGCTGTGGCAGCGGACCACATGGCAGCAGCTGTGGCAGCGGACCACATGGCAGCAGCTGTGGCAGCGGACCACATGGCAGCAGCTGTGGCAGCGGACCACATGGCAGCAGCTGTGGCAGCGGACCACATGGCAGCAGCTGTGGCAGCGGACCACATGGCAGCAGCTGTGGCAGCGGACCACATGGCAGCAGCTGTGGCAGCGGACCACATGGCAGCAGCTGTGGCAGCGGACCACATGGCAGCAGCTGTGGCAGCGGACCACATGGCAGCAGCTGTGGCAGCGGACCACATGGCAGCAGCTGTGGGTTGTGATAAGAAATCTAGACTGCTTTCAATTGCCTAAAGATCTGCAGAGCTTAAACCTTTAGTATCAACCAATTCTAGGTAGAACTTGTGGTCCACAGACATAAGTGTCACAAACAATTTAAGCACTAGGATATGGGATTGACACATCCCAAGCTTGCCTGCAGAGCCGGTGCATGCAAGCCATATATAATTTATCCCCTCGAAGGAAGAACTCCCTAGAAATACATTAAACATAGACTATCTCCTGCCAGTCCAGTGGCTGATTATGCATTACATTTATTCTATTACTCATGATTAACAAACGGTTTTATCCTCTCGACTCGGTTTGACTGGGTTAGATAGGGGCACACACGAAGTACATACTGTATATGGTGTCCTGGACTCTTGTTTACACTGTTCCATGGTGGGGTTCCAGACTCCATTCTAAGGTTTTTTCCAGGGTTTCATGATATTTAAAACCTGCACATGTATTTTTGCTGGTGAAAGCCACTTTCCCACTTATAACCCACTTTCTATTAGAAAGTGGGTTATAATAGCAAACTGGTCAATGACTGATAGAGGCAGCTTAGTTTTTAGACCTGGCTGAAACTTGGACCTGTTGCACAATGGTTAGTGCAGTCAGCTCACAACCGTCTGGACCAGAGTTTAATTCCCAGGCAGATGTGATGTTTGCGCATACTTCCTTATTCGATTGCCTCTGTTCACTTAGTAGTAAATATGCACCCAGATGTTAGGTAACCATTGTACTCACCTTGTTGTGCTTGTGGGAGTTGAGCTTTGGCTCCTTGGTCAACCAAGGATTGTTGGTTACATCCTGGGAAAGGTCGGATGTTGATCAAGGGCGTGGGGTGGCCATGATAATCCTAACAGACTGAATGTCCCCGACGATGAGGGAACCATATTGTGGTTATTGTTTTAGTAGGTATTCCACCCATAGACTTGATTGCGGTATCATTTTATAGATAAGCTTTTTCATATACAATAGAATTGCCAGAATTTTAGTTCAAAACAAACAAAAATACAATTAAAAGTGGCGAGTGACTAATGACTTCACTGTAGTGTTGTGCAAAAGTAATACCCTATACTGTACTGTTACCCAGCCTTGTTGGGGTATTTATATGAATATTTCATAAAACCATCTGCATTGTATTGTAAAATATACTGGCATAGATATCGGGAATATTTTTTATACAAGTTGCATTGTACTTAAGACGGTTCACCAATAGATTTTAAAACCTACCTATCCCAACCTAGCCTAATTTAGCCTAATATATTCTAACTTAACTATGATATAGTTTGACAGTCAGAAAAATGAACTTTGTTGATCAGTCCTGTGTATGATTTGACCATACTTTTCCAGGATTCCAGGATTATTTTCCAGGATTGCAATCATTTCTTCAGCTACAGTATATCTAGTTACATTGTAGTTTTTGTCATTACCAGAGTATGGGACGTCAAGGTGAAGACACTGGCAAGACAGCACCAGAAGATAACTTCAGCAATCACATGTGCAACATCCTGGGACAGCTTGAGGATGTTTTTAAAAATGCTGTGCATGTTGCATACCCTGATGTTGCTGACCCAGTTATACAAATTCAACTCTCTAAACATGCTGATTACCAATGTAATGCTGCCATGTCTCTAGCTAAGGTTAGTACAGTACTTACAAGACATATATGGAATGTTAAAATTGTATACAGGTACTGTATTCCTTAAGTTTTAGTCATCCCTACCAAGGTTTCTTGTTTTCTTCCATTTCAGTTTTACATGGGTTTCTGAGGGGAGCCCTTATGGCTCCCTGGAGCTGTCAAGCTAATGTGTGTTATATTAGACTGGGGCATTAGATTTGGAGTTCGACCTACCAGGGACCACGAGCCAGAACCTGGCCTCTTCAGAGAGGTTTCAGGGAGCAATGGTCCTGGAAAACCCCCTGTGGTTTGGGGTTTTCCGTATCTGCCATCGACCAGGGTTAGGCACCCAGGAAAGGTAGGTAAAACAACAAATCCCATATGGTAAGAAACTAACAACTAAAAACCGAACAGAGAGGTAGAACTCCCTCCAGTCGCAAGGAAACAAGCAAACGTCACACTCCACTGCCACGCTGCTCATCCGCACAGCCCTCCACTCCCCGAGAGGGGGAGGGGGTAGACCCTGGACCTCCTTTTGCCTGCTACTCAGTCATTAAGTTCATTCACTCATGTGATCCGGGGCGGACGCATCTCTCGCCTCAGATTCCTTGGCATTGTTTTACCTTCGTGGCGACCTCTGCTGTGTTGTTGTGTGTGGCGGCATCATCAATGCCGAGCCTGCATGCACTTAAGGGCTTCCTTCCCTAAGTTCCCTGTGAGTACTGCCCTTGCATGTTAGGGTTATCTTCCCTGGGGTGTTCGAGACACCATTTCTGTGGAGGTTCTTGCTGCTTGGCCTTGCCCTTGGGGTCAGCTGGATTTTGTGGCCCTTGTTTGGCCTGGGTAGAAAGTGGTATCATGCTGGTTGGGGTGCCAAGGTGTTGTGCAGCCTGCTTACCTAGTAATTACCTAAGTGTAGTTACAGGATGAGAGCTATGCTCGTGGTGTCCCGTCTTCCCAGCACTCTTTGTCATATAAAGATTTGAAACTATTGACGATCTCGGCCTCCACCACCTTCTCGCCTAACTTGTTCCAACCGTCTACCACTCTGTTTGTGAAAGTGAATTTTCTTTTAATTGAAATAGTGGCAGCTGGTTCCTGTTTCCTCTAGGGACACTGTACTTTTGCGTTTTTTTTTTTTTTCTTGCCTGGTGGGGGTCTGCCTGGTATGGCTATAGTTCCACTAATAATATTTTGGTGGTCCTCTGGTACACTCCCCCGTGATTGTACACGTCGCAGGGGTTTCAGTGTTGTACTCACCCTCTTGTTAGCTTTGGGTTTTAACTGGTTAGCAACACCTTGCCTGGGCTTCCCGTGGTACTCAGCCTACAGGTCCTGGCAAAATGTCAGGACTCGGTAGACCAATAGATGCATCTTTTGGATTCCAGCCTGCTATGTGCGGGTTCAAAGATTGCTGTGTGCCCTTGTCTCAGGGTGACAGTCGCCTCATTTGCATCCGTCATGCTGCCTGTTGGGTCAACGACACATTTGACCCGGAGTCTTTCTAGTCTTGTTCTCTGCTTGTTCTGCAGTATTATTCTGATGACATTACTGTTAAGGTACAGGTAGCATCTGTGTTCCATGCTAGGTTTAGGTTATTGCAACGTGCTAGTTTGGTTTCCTACCCGGATGCCCCACGTCTGTCACGCTTTGGTTATAGGGACCAGGACCTGGGGGCGTTAGTTGCTTCGACTTTGGTTTAGTCCGCGCTACCTGGTCCTTTCCCTGCTGTTCATCGTGCACTACCCACCCTGTGCTTCTGGCTCCCAAACATCTTAGGGTTTTGGAGTCGGAGCAGGGTAATGAGGGTTGTAATGAGGGTAATGAGCAGGGTTGGTAATGAGACTCGGTCAGCTTCGAGAGCTGCCCCATTCGGGTTTGGGATGGAAGCATTCGAACCAGTTACTCCTGGCGAGGCTTCTAGGTCCCACCAGCAGGTCCCCCCTTCTTGTCACCCTTTTCCCTGGACTCTGCTTTTTCTTCGGGGGTGGAGAGTATGGAGGACTGCTCTGCCCCGTGTCCCGACTTGGGGGATCCTGGGGCTGGGGAGCGAGTCAACCTAGGGGTACCTTTGACCTCGCATGGGTGCTAGTGCCCTCTTCACGAGGCTAATTTTTTTGGGGGGGTTCATAACCCCCCCACCCCACCCCCGCACCCCTTTCTCTGTATGCGTATGATTTGGGTTCGGCTCCTTCCCGGGTTAGGTTCCACGCTCGTTTGGGTATCTTGGCCCTGTCTTTCAGAGATTTCCTACATCTCGGATTTCTGCGAGGGAGGTTCGGGAGACTCTTGCTGCTTACAGTATCTACTCGATTTAATGGCCTGTGTGGGGCTTTACCAAGGTCGTTAAATGCGGGGCTCCAGTATTTCTGAAGTTGTTGAAGTTGATAGTGATGAAAGGGAGGAGTCTGAGGTCGAGACTGCCACTCGTGCACGGCGCGGTACTGGACCTCATGCTAGAGCCAGACGTACCACACATACCACACGTACCCCAGCACCAACAGATTCAGATGATGGATGGTGTAGTGACAATACTGCACCCTTTCTGGAAAATTTTACAGGTACACCAGGCTTGACTATTCCTGTACCTACCACTGTTCTAGGTTTCATTCAACTCTTTCTGACACAAAAATTGCTGAAATATATTGCCTATGAAACAAATTTATATGCTTCCCAAAATAAGGCAGGTACTGGGCAAAGGACAAAGCACAGATGGCAACTAGTGACAGTGAAAGAAATTGCTAGATATATGGGACTGACGATCTTGATAGGTATTTGCCCGTTGCCAAGACTTAATATGTATTGGCAAACAGGCAGATTCTGGCACATACCTTGTTTCAACACCTTCATGACAGGTAAACGATTTGAAATGATTGCTAAATATTTCCATGCTTATAACAATAAGTCCATACCACCAGGCCAAGGAGTTGACAAACTTATCAAAGTTCGCTCACTCATGCAATATCTCCTGAAAAGATTCAAGAGAATGTACATTCCCAATAAAAATTTGAGTTTGGATGAAGGGACAATGCCATGGCATGGCCGTCTATCTTTCAAGACCTATAATCCCAATAAACCAGATAAATACGGAATAAAGCTCTACATGCTAGCTGAAGCCACCAGTGGCTACATTTATGATTTTGAAATCTATTCAGGAGTTGGGAAAACGATGATTGACACAGTTATGGCCTTGATTGAACCACTGAAGGATAAAGGTTACCATTTATATATGGACAACTATTACAATTCGGTCAGATTGAGTGAGGCACTGCTTCAAGTAGGGGTATACACCTGTGGTACCCTCACACTGCAGCGTGGTGCACCTAAATCCCTTCAGATGCAAGCAAAGGGTAAAGTGCCAATAGATAAAACTTTATTCAAACGCAAGGACAATACTTTCATAATTTTGTGGAAAGATAAACGAATTGTTTCACTCATAACAAATTGCCACAATGCAGAAACACAACAGGTTCAACGCAGAAAACGAGTACGGAATCGTGATGGAACAACCTCAGTGCAGCAGGTAACTGTCAACAAGCCGAATGCAATCTGTGACTACAATACAAACATGAAAGGTGTTGATCACTTTGACCAAATGATCAAATATTATCACTTCACAAGGAAAACACACAAATGGACGAAGAAAATGACCTTTTATTTTGTGCAAATGGCTATCTACAATGCTTTTGTGATGTACAACTACTACACAACAGATAGAAGGAAACTGACATTACTCCATTTCCATGAACAAGTCATCGCTGCACTATTGTTCTATAAGTCTAGTAACTGGCCTGAGGAAGATGATATTCCACATGCTGCTGATGTCAATGCCACTGGAGCCAATGTTGCAACACCAGGACCATCAACACCTAGAGCTCCAACAGCAGGACCTTCAGGTGTGAGGCGCCCACTATTCACTTCACCTGTACCTGCAGACTTACCTTCATCGTCTGAGTCAGAAGACAAGGCTGTGATTATCACTAGTGGTGCTTCTGCTGCAACAAGACTCCGTATTGTGGATAATCCAGACCGCCTCAAAAGAAACTTGTCCCATACCCAAGTAAAGATACAGAAGCGTCTGAGGTGTCGTGTGTGCAAATTGTCGGGTAAAAGCAAGGACACACACTATAAGTGCAAGACGTGTGATGTGGCATTGTGTCCTGCACCATGCTACAGCAAATACCATCGACAGAAAAAATTCTGGGCCGATAAGCAGTAATGCTTGCCCACCATCCACTCCACCTATACAAAACATGGGTTGACCCTGCAAGAAACGTTTTCCAGGAGCAGGTGGAGTGGATAAAACAAATGTTCAACCCATGTCATGTTCAACACACAACACTGAGGTGGTAAGTACAAATTTTTTTATTATTTTATTTTTTTTTTTTTGTTCATACTTTCCCGTATTTTACAGGCAATGTTCTTCACTTGGCACTTATATGCACATATCCATCTAAAGAATTCTATTAGGAACATTTTCATACCTAAATGAGCGCTGTAACACGAAAATTGAGATTACCACCAGGAAATAATACTAAACATTTGTGGGCGGGAATTGGGAGTGTAGCTGGAAGGCGTCTGAGCGCTCACTCGCGGCTAACGCGTGGCCCGTCTTCAACTCGTCGGCAGTTGGAGCGTGACCAGGTTTTTTATTTTATATGCTAATGTTCCTCTAGAGAATTCTATTGCGAACCCATTGAGACCATAATGAAAGACCTAGGACGAAAATTGAGGTGACCAGAGTGAAAATAGTGAAAACATTTTATCGCGTTTGCGCACTCCTGGGTAACTCGTTCGCACTTTCTCTGTTTGCTGCGGGTAATTAGCCGGGCTTTTGGAGTTTATATGCATTTAGTGCTGTAGAGAATTCTATTGCGAACACAATGATACCAAATTTAATCTCGTAGAACGAAAATTGAGGTGACAAAGTTGAAGAGAGTATACACTTTTCGGAATTAACGCGCGCTCCCGTGACACGCTGGGGCCCAAATCGCATAGTTGAGGGGTGGTGCGCGGGGTGCGCGAAAGTGTTAAACTAGCTGTTGGCTGCTGCTTGGATGATGCATGAACACGGTCTGACCAGGTCCAGATGGGTGGAAAAAAATTGGTTCATTCCTTTGTATTGCAAAATATTTCGTGTCTATCACTCAATGATTGTTAAAGTTTTCTCAATAAAATTTTAGAGATGTTTTGTTTTATCCTGTACAGTACAGGTAATGTACTTTTAACGCTACGACACAGGCTGTGACGGCCAGGACATACAGTGGCGTTCAAGCCTAGTCACTAACACAGAGCTAGCCAAGACGAAATCTTGTGAGTTCACCTTTTCTCTGCTAATGATGGAATATACATTGCAGAGACTAGTATGTAACTATTGTTGAAAAAAAAATTATGTTGTTATACTGTAATAAAATTGATAAACTGTCTGACTTTTTATGAAGCTGAAGATTACGTCATCCTCTGCAGCACTTATTTTGTATTGTTCAGTATACATTCAGTATGTATGTATACAGTATGTACACTTATTTTTAGGCATTACTTCACATACCAGCTAGGCCTACTACTAATTCGTGTGTGAGTAATGCATAGCACTTTAAAAATAATGTTGACCAACACCTGTAATGCACCTGTACAATTGAAACTAATTTCTGTATGTACCCTGCATACAGTATATCTTTTTGTCAAGGCTTAATTATTTATTAACACTTACAATACTGTACTCTATCAACACTTTTTGCACTAATTTATACGTATAACAATCATATTTTATATCGTTAGCGGATGCTGCACAACTTGTTGATGGGAATTCAGCATTGGCGGGTGCAGAATGGCTTGTAGGGCATTCGTTGCTGGTGGATGCTGCACGACTTGTTGATGGGAATTCGGCATCAGCAGGTGCAGCATGGCTTGTAGGGCAGGCTCTTGGCTTGTTTGTGAGGCCTCACTGGTTGAAGGCTTGTGGCTTGCTTGTGAGGCCTCACTGGTTGAAGGCTCATGGCTTGCTTGTGAGGCCTCACTGGTTGAAGGCTCATGGCTTGCTTGTGAGGCCTCACTGGTTGACGGATCTTGGCTTGTTTGTTAGGTGTCACTGGTTGAAGGCTCGTGGCTTGTTTGTGAGGCCTCACTGGTTGAAGGCTCTTGGCTTGCTTGTGAGGCCTCACTGGTTGAAGGCTCATGGCTTGCTTGTAAGGCCTCACTGGTTGACGGATCTTGGCTTGTTTGTGAGGTGTCACTGGTTGAAGGCTCGTGGCTTGCTTGTGATGCCTCACTGGTTGAAGGAGCTTGGCATGCTTGTGAGGCATCACTTGTTGAAGGCTTGTGGCTTGTTTGTGATCACTGGTTGAAGTGATGCCTCACAACACTCGGCTGACTGGCCATTTTCACAATTTTATAACACAGGCTGAAGTTTCCTTGAAAAATATTCTGAGTTTTTTCCTCCTGGCAGCCTACGTAACGTGCTATAGCTGCCCCAAGTGGACCCGTTCAACACTGATCAACCCATATGCTCCTGTCCCTCGTGTTACACCAGTGCTGTGCCATTAGTGAAATGTTTTTTTACATAAGTTATTCATTTTCATAGTAACTTTGAACATTTTTGGCCATGGCTATGTCTGGTAGCAGCATCAATCGTTCTGGAGGTGTTAAAAGAAAGAAGGTTGCCCTAACAATTAAAGATAAGTTACGTGTTATACTCCTCGGCCAGTGAGGCGTCACAAGCAAGCCAAATGCCTTCAACAAGTGAGGCGTCACAGGCAAGCCAAGCAACTTCAACAAGTGAGGCTTCAGCAGCTGGCAGTCAAAACTAACTTTGTTTAATGAATTGTGCAGTAATTTTAAGTGTTAATTTTAGTGTTGTGTTAGTATTGGTTACGTAAATTGTTGAGAATTCTTAACTTCAAGATGTGTGGCATCAATCAAGAAGACGAACACCAACAAGGTAAGTTGAGGTTTCTAGTTGAATATTTAATAATTATATGTGGCAAGGCAATTCAAATTATGTTGTTTGTAGTATAAAAGTATTAGTTGGAAATGGTTAGTTTTGGACTCGTAGTGAAAATGTACCATTATCTGGAACACGTGAATATCCGGCTGGGGGTCCTTCCCATATAGTCCGGATAATCGAGTGGAGACAGTAAGAAAATATTTCACTAATGGCATGACACTGTGGTATAACGTGAGGGTGAAAAAAGTCCCCAAATTTTTGGAGGACACTACTGTCTTCAGCCAGTGCACATAGTCTTCAGGAAATTTGTATTTGTTATTATATTAGATAATGTTTCTTTAGTTATTTACTGTGAGGAATTGTTTCAAAATAATTATTGGTTTTGTATTGTGACGGTGTTCCACCCCTATATTTCTCCTAACCCAGCTTAGTCATATCTCCATAACCTGCGCATTCTGATATTCAGGGAACATTTTCATGTGTGTGAGAGTATGGAGCGTTATCAGGTTGGCTGTAAAATTGCCGTATAAGTTGGATTATGCAGAGGGCTTACGCCCTTTTGAGTCGCAAGATGGCACCGAGCCATTCTGTTTCCCGCCAAAGCGGCGCCGCGCCGCGCCTGCCGACACCTGATTGGCCAGGTAGGATCACGTGCCGGAAGTGACCAATGACGAGAGCCCTCGGGCGGAGGGCTCCTGGGACGGCTGGCGCCTGGGCGGGCAGAGTACGTCACAGACTGTCACAGAGAGTGGACGCGCTCCAGTGAGCTCCAGAGGCTAGAGAGCCCCTACCAGTGGATTTAAGCATCCCTTTTGATACTGCAGACATCCCGTGGAGTGCCAAGAAGCAAGGATTGGCTGGGCTAGAGTGTCAAGAGCTCTATTATCAAAAGTCTGCAGCAGGGACGAACATTGGGCTGGAGACGTCTGGGATACCCAGCGGACCACGTTCTACATATCAAGTGAGTAGCGACGGCCGGGCCGAATCTACTGGAAGTGAGGCATGGGGAAGCTGTACTGGACTGCAAGTTGTGTATGCAGTGCCAGTGAAAGGAGGAAGAGGATGACGGCACAGGTACCTGACTCCAGTACCCCGAAGAAGAGGAGGAGGACCGTTCCTGCCGGGTGTAAGGATGGCGAAGACGTGTTACTACAAGGATGACTGAGGAACTTGTGTGTGTGTGAGAACTGATTAACGGAAGACCAGAAGCCAGGACCAGGAACCTCAACTTTCCTCACCAGAGGACTAGTCGGCTTCGTAATGGAATGAAGTAAGGTAGATAATTATCCCTCCCTGTACCCCTTTGATCTAGGCGATCTAGGATATTCTGTATATCATGAACATTTCTTGTTACCATTTATTGTCTATGTGACAGAGTGTTAGGCTAGGAGCCAAGGAGCTCATGTAGGCATGAGTTGATGGTGGAACATAAATATGTAGATGCGGTGACATTAGTGTATCTGGAAGTAGTGGCTGGTTTTCAAGAAGCCAGAAACGAACATTGAATCGTCCACCTGATCGTGTTGCCAGAGGCGCGGGGCGTGTTCAAGCCGGTTTGACAGTAGGACCCAGCCAGCTGATCGTGTTGCCAAAGATGCAAGGTGTGTGCACGCCGACTGACAAGTGGACCCAGTCAGCTGATCGTGTTGCCAAAGACGCAAGGTGTGTGCCCGCCGACTGATAAGTGGACCCAGTCAGCTGACCGTGTTGCCAGAGATGGGTCAAGAGGAGGTTGCCACCATAGGACAATTCCACCTGTATTATTTCTTTATGCAAGTCTATATATATTTTTCTTCAGTAAACTTTTACTCTTACCAATGTGTTTGAGTGAGCCTCCATTCTCTAGGGCTATTTTTTAAGTGAAACCATTTATGCACATGAGATTGCATCCTTGATTTAAGATAACTAATGAGACCACTGACGTGTTGCTGGGACACGAGTATAAACACCCAGCTGGCGACCTCGAACAGACTAGATAGAGATAGTGTATCCCAGTGTCAAGACGGGCAGGTTCAGCTGTGAGACAGAAGGACTTGAATCTCTCCACTCACTAGGGGCATAAGGCCAGCCCTTGGTAGACTGGGGAGCTCCGGGGCGAGCAGTGGCGCCAGGTACAGAGGGGCGAAGACCCGAGGGAGCGGCCCTAACTATAAGGTAGGAAGGGGTGAGAACCTTGACAGTATACAATACAGATTATGCCCCATACAATATTCCACATGCCCCATATTCCAAAGACAGTCCCGCCCGACTCCTTCCTTTCTCCAACACCCCATACCCTGAAACCTCCCACCCCAACACCTATACCATGCGCCTCGAGCCACAGCCATACGGGATTAATACAGTATGGCCTGATGCCTGACTTCTGTATCCGGAAAAATCTCCACTTCTCCGGATATGGACAAGTTGGTGTACAGTTATCTGGACTTAACTTAAACCCTCTGTTTGTCAATTTCTATTTGGACAAATCTCTGGTCATCCGGATTCTATGGACATTCATCCGGATGCAATTTTGTCCGGATAACCCCAATATCCGGTTTAGTGGAATTCAGATAATCGAACTCGCATAGTATATGTTACAACTGTGGGGTATAACAAATAAACTATGATAAAAGTATGGAAACAAATTGTGATCTAGAGTAATGGTGGATAATAACCAGATGCTTGGTGGGTAGGTCTGTAATTAGCTCTGCGACATGGCAATGTTGGTAAGCTGCTGGTAAGGGCATTCCCAGACACAACAAATGTAATCTTGTTGCATGCTGGTATCTGCAATGTGTATTTATATTGAGTACATTGAAAATTCTGGTTATTAAAGCTTTATGGGTTCAAGTGCTGGATAATAAAGCTTTTACTATTGTTAAATAAACAGAACACTGAAGTAAATTCTTACATTTATTTGAATAATGGTTCTGAAACTCATCATGGGTAGCTTTTAAAAGGACTTCTTAGAAAATAAAATTAAAATGATATATTTGTTTAATATTTTTTTCTTTTCATGCATTACTTTCAGACTCTGAAGAAAAACCCACGTGAAGTTGGGCAGACACTTGTGAAGAGTGTAGCTCCGAGCCCTATGATAGCCAAGATGGATCTGTCAGGCCCAGGCTTCATCAACATTTTCCTCAGTCAGGACTTCATAAAGCAGCAGGTTAGACTAAAAAAAAAAAAATATATATATAATTTATACTGTAGTCTATAATTATTAAATACTGTACAGTAGTTGAATCTCTCAAATCATAAACTAATAATAAAAATATACCAGTGTTTGAACAAAATTGTGACCTAGTCTTCTGTAATCCAGAACCCTAAATTTCTGTTTAAAAATATAAGGCATGCTATAGTTGAGGAAACTGTTGAAGTGGATTAAGGTAGATAAAGCAGAGGGGTCATATATACCTAGTCAATCCAGGTATGGATGAAGAATACTGATGTACTAGTGAGGCACCCTATGGATGCATGCTGTTCAGTTTGTAGACATCTATGAGTTGCCTTCACTAAGTGAAATGTCAGATGTAGTGCATTTTAACAATGAATCCTCATGTAGGCCTTGGCATTGAGGAGACTGAGAAGCACAAGCAGGAGTTTAGAATGCAAAATAAGTCATAGCAAGGGTAAACATTGTGAAACCATGGACAGTGTAGCAGAAAATGTTCAATTGTTTTCTCTTGAACTAAGCACTACTGGTAGTCTGACAAGTTCAGAAGACCAATGTGTGGCCAGCCTCGTATGTCTGATTCATAGCAGAAGGATGTTGGAATAGACAGTGGTCCCGATGTCTCGCCCATGGACTTGGTGGGGCAGTCACTAATGAGTGACTGCCCCACCTGTCTCTCTCACGGGGTCTCACTCTCACGGCGAGACCTCCTGTTACAACTGATATGAGTGGGGCTTCTATGGGGTACTGGTACTATTAAGGGGTATAGGTAGTTAGAAGACAAGAGTATCAAATATGGGAGAGCTAAAAGGCCCGGCCCCCAAAATAAACTATCCACAGTAGTAATAACTTGCTACAAGACCATATATGTTAGTCTAAGGGTTGATCACTGCGCTCCCACCTTGGAAGAAGAGATACTCTGTAATTCATGTACTTATTTATTAACCCCTTAACAACCCCCCATATACACTCACACCAATAACAACAAAAATAATAATAATAACTTTACCACACGATCTTACGTTAAAAGCCTTGGTCCACGTAGGCAGGATACAAGGTTTACACTAATAACAAGCTAGGGTAAAGTACTACTGGATAAGCACTGAAGCTGGATGCAGCTTAGGGTAGTGAAACCACGTGGGACCCTAATACAAAACACAACACTTAGGGGTACCCAAACACTGACAAAATACTATCCCCAGGTCTCGCCAATCGTTACTACCAGAGTAGGCACACTTGACACCAATTAATACTTAACTTAAGGGTACAGGAACTTAGGGTAAGGGAAATAAGTAAGAGAAGGGAGGAGAGTAGGGATACAGCCACAGAGTAGGTCTTAACCGCACCACACCAGCCACAGAGAAGACCGAGCTAGCCACCAGCTGCCTCCCTCATCGTGGTGCCGGGAGGAGCCTAATTGATCGTGCAGCTAAGCACATTAAAGATCTTCCCTATGCAACGTATTGTTACTTTATGAATGATTAGAAAGTATTAGTAAGCAAAGTTGGTGCCTATGTTATTATTTAATAATCAACCCCCAGCTCAGTCTTTAAATGCTCTTTGAGAAACAATAATAGTCTTACGTCTGGCAGGGAAGATACAAACAATTGACATTCTAGATGCCCAACTGTGCTACCAGGAAGTTTAATAGCTCAATTTTGACCTCTGGTTTCCACTGGAGAACCCAGGGTCGTAACACTCCTCCCCCCTTCGGAGAAAAAAAAAAATGTGACTACTAGAATAGTAGTCATATTTTTTTGTAAGAGTATACAGAGAACAAAAAGAAAAACATATGACAAAAACAAAAAATCAATCAAAAGCAATTTCTCTGCAAAAAAAAAAAAAAATACAAAGGAGTTCTCTGAAAGAAAAAAAAAAATACACAACAAAAATAAAAGAACAGGGAAGTAAATAAATTGGACACGGAATATTTAATGTCACAGGAGAACCTAAAAAAAATTAACTAAAGCATGACGGTTGGTAAATGGCTTTCTGTGGCTCAGATGAATGTTATTCAGGCAACCGGGACAGGGCGTCGGCTATCACGTTGAGTCTGCCCGGTAGGTGGGTAATGGAAAGATTGAAGTCCTGTAGGTACAACGCCCACCTGAGGATGCGTTTATTCTTACCCTTCATCTGAGTCAGGAAAACTAGTGGGTTATGGTCCGTGTACACTTCCACTATATTACCTGTGAGGTAAACTTCGAACTTTTTACATGTTAACACTAGCGCCAACGCCTCTTTTTCTACCACTGAATAATTGCGTTGCGCCTTGTCGAATTTCACAGAGTAATAATATACTGGGTGTTCCACCTGATCATCCCCAGTTTGCAACAACACTGCACCAGCACCCGAGTCAGACGCGTCAACATGAATTTTAAACGGTCGGTCGAACCTTGGACTAGCAAGCACTGGGGCGGAAGCTAAGATCAATTTCAAATTTTTAAATGCCTCTGCACAGTCTGATGACCACTTAAATTTAACGGCTTTCCGCAACAAGTCTGTGAGAGGAGTGGCAACACTGGAAAAGTTCTGACAAAAACGTCGATAGTACGCACACATACTGATAAATCTTTGAACGTCCTTTTTAGACTTTAGTACTGGATACTCCAGAATGGCATTGATTTTATCTTGCCGAGGTAACACTTTTCCTTGGCCCACTTCATAACCGAGGTACGTCACTGTGCCTTGGCCAAAATGACACTTTTTAGCATTTAAGGTAAGATTTGCCCTTTTCAAGATGGCAAACAACTGGCGTAACCTAGCTATGTGGTCAGCCCAATTACTGTCAAACAGCACGATATCATCTAAATACGCCCGACAATTTGGCACCTTAGCGAGTAGAGAGTTCATGAGTCTCTGGAACGTGGCAGGGGCATTACGCAAGCCGAACGGTAACACTTGATACTCAAAAACACCCTCGGGTGTCACGAACGCAGTGAGCTGTTTAGCACGTTCAGTGAGTGGGATTTGATATACCCCCTCGAGAGGTCGAATTTCGAAACGTACTTGGCATTTCCCAACTCGTCGATGCAGTCCTCGAGGAGGGGCAGCGGATAGGCATCCACAATGGTCACCTTGTTGAGCTGCCGATAGTTGGTGCATAATCGCCAGGAGCCGTCTGGTTTGGGGACCAAAAGGCAGGGCGAGCACCAAGAGCCCTGGCTCGGCCGGATGAGGCCGTGCTGGAGCAAGAAGTCAACCTCCTTCCGTACGATGGCCTTCTTTTCTGGACTCATCCGATAGGGTTGAAGGCGAATGGGAGTGTAGTCCGTCAACTCGACATCATGGCAAATGGCATCAGTCTGGGTCGGGACCTCCCCGAACAGACTGGAGAATTCATCAACCAACGACTGCACCTCTTCACGTTGGGCCATCTGCAAATGGGACAGTTCCTCCACAGCATTCACAGAACTAGAATTATTGAAAATGAGATTAGTTGGGTCCCCAGAACAATCATCCCCTCTCTCACTGGAAATGGAAACATTGGTTAGTGCAATGGGCCTGGGGCCCTGGAACTTCTTCAGTCGATTTACATGTATGAGCATTACCTGGTTACGTTTGTCGGAGTGCCTCACTTTGTACGTGAGGTCCCCCGTCTTTTCTGTCACAATGTAGGGGCCTTCGTACTTGTGGGACATAGTGTTCCCTAGTCGAGGCTTTAATACCAGGACAGGGTCGCCAGGCTGAAATACCCGTAACTTAGATTTAGCATCGTTACGTTCTTTCATCTTTTCTTGGGCCTTGCCAAGATACTTAAATGCAGCCGCCTTGCAGTCCTTGAGTCTCTGGTGGTGTTGCGCAAAGAAAGCCGAACCTTCGGATAACGTTACGTTCCCTAACAGATTCTCCTGTAACATTTGCAAGGGTCCACGAACTTTATGGCCAAAGACTAACTCAAAAGGAGAACAGCCCAGTGAACTTTGCAATCCCTCTCTAGCCGCAAACAAAACATACGGTAAATTCTCATCCCAGAAGGTGTGGGAACTCTCGCACGATGTCTTCAACATCTGCTTCAGAGTTAGATGGAAACGTTCAATTACCCCCTGACTCTGTGGATGGTATGGGCTGGAAACCTTATGAGTTATTCCATGTTCCTTACAAAATTGCTCGAAAACATCAGACTTAAAATTAGTACCATTGTCAGTTTGCACGACCCGAGGCAGTCCAAAAGTGGAAAAAAATTGCAACATACGAGCAACAACAGTTTTTGCTCGGATATTCCTTACAGCAAAAGCCTCTGGGTAACGAGTAGTGATACACATCATCGTGATTAGGTAAATATTACCAGACTTAGTTCTAGGTAATGGTCCAACACAGTCCATTACCACATGAGAAAATGGTTCCTCTGGCACGACAATAGGCCTTAGAGGAGCTTTAGGTGGAGTCTGGTTTGGTTTCCCAACCAGTTGACAAACAATACACGCATTACAAAATTTTGCCACATCGCTTTTCAGCTTGGGCCAGAAAAAATACTTTAAAATTTTGTTATACGTAATATTAATACCTTGATGTGCCCCCATAGGATCATCATGAGCAGCTGCCAAAACTCTTTCTCTATAGCAGGTCGGCAACATAACCTGGTGGACTACCTCCCACTCATTTGACAAGGGAGCACTCTGTGGTCTCCATTTTCTCATCAAAATCCGATCATTGTAGTAGTACCCAGTTGCTGCGTCTACAATTTCCTCCATAGAGACGGCTGTTTCATGACAATCTGCAAGAGTGGGGTCAGCTTTCTGTAACTCACTCAAGGAGGCATCTAGGCCTTGGTCAGATGCCATTGGCCGAGGCTCAACAGTGTTCTCCTCCACCTCCCCACTACTCTCTGTAGGTGGCGGTGGCAGGCTCTCCACAATGTCCTCGGCCACGTCATCGAGTCGGGCCATGAATGTGTCCGCGAGGTCCACTTGGTTTTCACCACTCGGAAAGCTCCTCGTGACCTCGGGATTTACCACCTTGGCAAGCACAGGGCTGCCCTTACATTTAAGTCCCATA